CAGGTTGGGGGCGTCGGTGGGCGGCGGGCGGATTGGGAGGAGTGGGAGGAGGGGCAGCAGGTGTGCTCATGATATGTCGATGGGGTTGGGGTTGGGGTTGGGGCTGGGGTCGATATGGAGCCAACCATTGATAAGAACTCGCAACTTGATTCGTTCAACTCGAATGGCAAAACGATTACAAATTTGTATTCATTTCGTTTATTCACTTTTAATATATGTGAATATGTATGTATATGTATATATTTACTCGTTTGCGTTTCGATTTTTATTCTAATGACATTTTTATTGTTTTTAATGCGCTTTTAATAATAATTGATTTCTGATGTCGGCCTCTTGATAAGCCCGTAAAAAAAGCAATAAAAAACGAGAAAGAAGTGCTATCTTCGGCACACCGAAGATTTAATACCCTTGCAGACCCAACCTTTTCAAAATGCTCATAGTGCTTTGCCCGTATCTAAGAAGCACAGGGAAAATAGTTAATGCCGAGTATGGTTAAGATATCTTGAAAAACAAAACAGGTTTCCATACAACAACTTAATTTTCGACCGATCGTTCCTATGGCAGCTATATGATATAGTTGCCCGATGTGAATAAGATTTTGCATAAGTGGAGGGAGCATAGTAAAACTAATAAATGCCGAGTTTGGTCAAGATATCTTGAAAAACAAAAAAATTCCATACAACAGCATAATTTTCGACTGATCGTTCCTATGGCAGCTATATGATATAGTTGTCCGATCTTAATAGAATTTTGCATATATATGGGGACCGTAGTAAAACTAATAAATACCGAGTTTGGTTAAGATATCTTGAAACACATAAAAATTTTCTATACAAAAACTTAATTTTCGACCGATCTTTCCTATGGCAGCTATATGATATAGTGGTCCGATCTTAATAGGATTTTGCATATATATGGGGAGCCTAGTAAAACTAATAAATACCGAGTTTGGTCAAGATATCTTGAAAAACATAAAAATGTTCCATACAAAAACTTAATTTTCGACCGATCGTTCCTATGGCAGCTATATGATATAGTTGCCCGATCTTAATAGGATTTTGCATATATATGGGGAGCGTAGTAAAACTAATAAATACAAAGTTTAGTCAAGATAACTTTATAAACAAAAATGTTTTTCATACAAGAACCTACTTTTCGACCGATCGTTCCTATGGCAGCTATATGATATAGTGGTCCGATCCAGCTGGTTTTGACATATGAGCTGCGTGCAACAGAAAGAGGGAATTCTGCAAAGTTTCATAAAGATAGCTTTAAAACTGAGAGACTAGTTCGCATAGAAACAGACAGACGGACAGACGGACAGACGGACAGACGGACAGACGGACATGGCTATATCAACTCGGCTGTTGATACTGATCAAGAATATATATACTTTATGGGGTCGGAGATGTCTCCTTCTATGCGTTACACATTTCACGACAAAATTATAATACCCTCTGCAAGGGTATAATAAATACATATATGTATGTATAAATCAAATGGAGTACAGCAAATGAAAGAGTTTCGGGCTTTGCGTAACCAAATATATAAATATCATGTGATATCAAATTGTTTGTCGTTCGACCTTTAATATGCAATGGAATGATATCTATATCTATATCTATATCTACATGATCAATCTCTAGTTTTAAACTTGAAATAAGAATAAAAAACTATTATAGATTCATGTCTTAGGCCAGTTCTTACTTGTTTCAATCATTAAATGCCTATTTTAAGTCTAACTCTTTAAGCATGAAAAAACTTAAATCAAGTTTGGTCTGTTTGGGTTTTAAGCAAACAAGCAAAGAGGCTTAAGCTGAGGCATCACAGCTCAATTTGATCTATTTAAGGCTATCTTCGTTTATGCAATGCCCGTCTAAGTCTCGAGACACTAGTTTTAGGTAAGTTGTAGCTTCAAACAATTGCGTTTTTGATTTTACAGCTTAAGAAATCAATTGTATAGGTTTTAACTTTGTTATTATAAATAAGAGTCTAGAATTTTGATTGCTTTTTGAAGAACTATTCAGAGCTTGACTGAAATGCAGCATGACTTATGCTTGATTTAAGAGTTGATTTAAGAGTTTTTGGCTTGAGTTAGAATGTTGTAATGAACGAAGTACATAGATATCGTGTGTCTACAGACTCTTTTTATATTTAAATTGAGTTCGTTTTTGAGTTGAAGAGCCTTTATATGAAAGCACAGTTTATAGGGATTATATTTTGATCGAGTTTTTTTAGTTTTACCCATTAACTATTCTAGCAGGATTTATAGTGCTATAAAAGTTGTGTCTTAAAAATTGTTAACTTCTTTGAGATGTCAAAAATGTGAACATAAACTTAATACAAATTGAATTGATTTAAGATTGAGTACTAGCAGAATATAGTGTGTATATCTCTATATAGAATTGTTTGTCCTGACTGACTGACTAAATGACTGACTGACTGATTGACTGATTGACTGATTGACTGATTGACTGATTGACTGACTGACTGACTGATTGACTGACTGACTGACTGACTGACTGATTGACTGATTGACTGACTGACTAAATGACTGACTGACTGATTGACTGATTGACTGATTGACTGATTGATTGACTGACTGATCAAATCGAACAACCCAAACCATAAGAGATAGGAAGTTGTGTGTAATGGAAATCAAACTTAACTGAAGTTTTGTCATGCTTAAAGAGTTAGGCTCAAAATAAGCAGTTTGTGCTTAAAGCAATTAAGCGCAGACCTAAAGACCTTTATATATTGTATATATATATATATATAAGCAGATTGGTAGACGCCCACGGCGAGCCATTCGCGAATGATTTGCAATTTGTTAGAATAATATTTTTGATTTATTTTTAATTAGGTTTTATCAGTCGCAGCGATTTCAGCAGCCGCCGAATTATTAGCTAAAAAAAAAAGAAGGAAAATGGGAAACGAAAACGGAAAATGAGAATGCAAATCGTAGTAAATGCGCGCCCAACTGGATATAACAATAAACATTATAATGTTCATGCGTTCAAATTAGTTCTATTATAATAAAACATATATTAAAAGCGGGCAACTGTCAAATTAGATTTGTGCCAGCCGGAGGGGCTGCTAACAAGGGACGGAAGGGGGGGGGGGGGGCTAGTCTGGCAAAACTTTTCCACAGAGACAAAGTCGAGCTAATAGAAAATCAAGCGCAAGAAAATGGCGCACGATAAGCAGCAGCTAATGTGGCAGCAGAAGAAGAAGATAGAAAATAGCGGAACGAGTAAAGTTAAGTAGAAGTCGAAGAAGAAGACGACGCCCCGCAGCCAAATTAAATGAAAATTTGTTTGTGTGTGGAAAAATCAAGTGAAAATTAATTGAATTGAGTTGAGTGCGGCGGCCGCTGCCCGTTTATAGATTTTTGCGTGCCGATAAAAAAAAAACACAAACCACTGACAATGGACCAGAAGGAGAAGAAGAAGAAGAAGAAGAAGAAGCACAAGAGGCAGCAGCAGCAGCAGCGGCAACGGCAGCAGAAGAAGAAGCAGCAGCGGCAGCAGCAGCAGCTGCAAAGTGCCGAACATAATTGTGTGTGTGTGTGTGTGTGTGTGTGTGTGTATTTTCATTTTTGCCAATCACAAGTCTGAAAGGAGTTGGGAGGGGGGCACGAAGTGGCTGCAGCCCAGCAAATGGTCAGCGAGGGCGGCAATTTTCACAGTGTCTTTGTGTGCGTGCGCCCGTGTGTGTGTGTGTGTGTGTGCATAATTCATTTCAAAAGACGCAAAAGTCGCAGCTGCGCAGTTGCAGCAAGCAGCAGGGAATTGTTAAAGGGGGTGGGGTGGGTGGAGGTGGTCTGCTCTATGGCCCAGCCTGCTGCATATTTAAGACATTATTACATTATAATCGCATAAAACAATCAATAAAATGTCAGTTGGCAGCGCCAACAGCAGCGACCCGTAACAGTTGGCAGCGCTGCTTTGCGCTCAAATTGCCCATAATCATAACGCTGTAGCTGGGCAAACCGACAAATTTCCCACTATTTCTTGGCCACGCCTGTGTCAGTAGCGCTGTCTCGCTTTCGCACAGCGAATGTGGCCACCATTTAGCTGGCTGGCAGGCCTGCTTGCACTTGGCGCGCACGATGAAACACGCTCGCACGCACACACACCCACATTCACGTACGCAAGCCACACACACAAATTCACTTTAAATCAATTTTTTTGGCGTTTTTCATTTCATTTTCACGATGTTGTCGTCGTCGTCGTCGACGACTGTTGCGCCTCTCTCTCGCTCAATTCGCTTGAGCGCTAGCGCTCTCTCACTTTAGCATGCGCGCACTGAGCCAGAAAAATACCATTATTGCGCTCTGCATGTAGCGTATGTGAGTGTGTGCGCGCGTGCGTGTGTGTGTGTGTGTAGAGTGGAGTGGGTAGCATGGCGCGCGGTAGAGAGCGCAGCGCCTTGGCGTGTTTGTTAAGTGAAACCATTTTTCTTTTTATTGCAACGACGACGGTGACGGCGACGACGACGACGGCGACGCTGGCAGCGCTGCTGCTGCGTTCGTTTTGTTATTTCTCGCTTTGGCGCACATAAATTTGAACGTTAATGATTTTTGCTTGCAGTCGCGCATGCGACCAGCAACAACAATAACAAAAGCTGGCCGCAAGTGTTGAAAAATGCTTATGCTGCTCGTCGTCGTCGTCGTCGTCGTCGTCGTTGTTGTTGTTGTTCTTGCTGCTGCTGCTGTTTTGCAGGTGTCGCTTGCCATCTCACTTTTTAGCATGGACACAAACCCACCAATGCCAACCAAAGATGCGACACTTTTGCACTACACGCTGTTGTTGTTGTTGTTGCTCTTATAGTCACACACACACACACACACGCATACGCATACGCACACATATGTGTGCATGCAATTATTAAACAAATGCCACAAAACGAGCGTCGCCGTCGCCGTCGCCTGTTGTCAACGTCGTCTGCGGTCGCCGCTTTGCCATTTTCATTTAGACGTCAACTTTGAAGCGTCGTCGCGCGCCTCTTCTCTCAATCTCTATCTCACTCTCTCTCTCACTCGCTCTCTCACTCGCTTTCTCTCTCTCTCTCTCTTTCGCACTTACTCGCTTGTGTTAGCTCGCTCGCTCGGCGCGTAAATCAGCGCCTCGGAGCTTTGAGTGTAATTTTAATTCGAATCAATTTGTTTGTCGCCGCCGCGGCCGGCGCACAGTGGGTCTCCATCGCTGCCATCGCCGGGTCTCTCTCTCAGCATTCTGCGGCCAAGACGAAGTTCGAGTCGCATATCCTTTCTGGCCGTTTCAGTTGTTGTTCTTGTTGCTGCGCCGTGTTTGGTTAACGTGTGATGCAACAGTTGCGCCCCCAGCCGCCCCACAGTTACCAGCGTTCGGCACACACACCACCCCCGCCCCTCACACCCAACACACCGCAGCGTTCCTCGAATGGATCATCTGCTCAAGCAGCTGGCAGCGGCTGCGCAGGCGCACACGCAAGCCCCGCTGATGGGCTTGCCAGGCTTTGGAGCCGGCGTCCATCCAACCGCCACGCATCCGCATGCCGCATCTGCGCTACAGCTCTATGCAGCCGCAGCCGGCTGGGCGCCATTTCTGGGCCTGAGTCCGCTAAGCGGGGCCAGTTCCAGCTATCGCCATGGAGCGGCGCCTGGCGCCTCCGGCAACGCCTCCGTACACATGCTGCGTCACATGGCGCTGCTGCAGCGCGCCAATGCGGCTGCAGCGGCGGCCAATGCAGCGAGTAAGCTGCAGCAGCTTAAGGAGCAGCACGAGGACCACGACGACGATGACGACGACGACGACGAGGTGGAGGTGGAAGCACTGGAGCCAGCGTCACGTAAAATGCTGCAAACGGAGGCTCTTGAGGGTGAGTTTTGAGACCAAGATCTTATATTCCTCCTTCTTAAATTCGTAAACGTTTCACTGGCTGCGCTGCTTAGCTTCAGCTTGATATCTGAAAATCTTAATTTCAATTTCTCTTAAACTTACTCTGGATTACACAATTGTTAATTTTTACTGACTCCCTTACTTAGCTAACTTAATTCGGCAAAGTTTATATTTCAGTTTTGTCTTGAAAATCATTTATTATTTGTTCACTTGGTCCCTTCCGTTATTCTTCTTTGTGCCGCATTCGTAAAGTCTACACTGGCTGGGCTTTTTAAGCAACGCATTCACGAAGCCTTATCTTAGCTTGTAGTTTAATTTTTTACTCATTTTCTCTTTTATCCCTTTGCCAATGCATACGTAACCGTTTTTCTGACAGCTGCCAGCTAAAAAAAATGCCTTTTACTTGATAATCATATTGGGCCATAATTTGTATAGTTAGTAAATGAATTAAACCTTTTTTATAAGCAAATTAAGTGGAAATAGCGTTTAATTCGGTTTAATTTTAATTTATTTAATAATTAAATTATTTTCCAGCTCAGCGTGCTTTAAGCAAAGCTCAAAACCCAATTGCCTGCACCAATAGCAAGGCAGCTAGCACAGACACACAGACACACACACACACACAGTCGCACAGAGAGACACACATGTATTTGCGTCTGTGTGCGAAGGCACAATATGTGGCCGACTCATTATTTAATAGCAAGCATTTTGGCAGCGACGTCGACTGCGACGCTTAACAGCACAAAATCGCAAAAGCACACGCTAAAACAACAACAACAACAACAGCAAGAGCAGCAGCAGCAGCAGCAGCAGCGCAAAACGGAATCCAGTTTTGTTGTTGGCGCCCCGGCGCGCACTTTATTCAATTTACCAATAAAATTTCAATCGCATTGCTCTTTTTAATCAATTCGCTGCGACACGCACAGCAGCAACAACAACAACAACAACAACTATGCATAATTTGTTTGTTGTTATGTTTTTTGATCAATTTTTAATCAACAACAAAATTTGTGGGCCGACGCTAGCGCCACGGCGCCTGCAGCGGCCATTTGTGACATTGTTGCTGTTGCTGCTCTCTCTCTCTCTCTCTCTCTCACGCTCTCGTTTGCTACGTTTGCGTGCGCCTGTGTGTGTGCGTGTCTGTGAGAGAGCTGCCGTTATTTTTGTTGCTTTTTGATTATGCGCGTAATTAAATTTGGCAAGCAATTTTGTGCCTTTTATTTTTGGCCATGCAAAAATAATTAGGAAACCGAACAGCACCAAGATTGTGAGTGCGAGAGCGAGAGCGAAAGCGAGAGAGAGAGAGAGAGAGAGAGAGAGCGACAGCTTTGAATGCCTCACGTTATGCATTGAACAATGCATGAAATTTCACGTAATTTGGCATGCCTGAACGTTATTAAATGTGCCCAAACCGCAAATGCCTAGAAGCTAGTGTGGCCAAACTTTGGTAGAGTATTGGAAGATAGTTTGGCGATAAACAAAATTGTCCAGCTGTGATAGGCATGATATTATTTAGGAAGATACAACGTTGAAAGTTAGAAAGGAGAAAGAAGATGAAAAAGAAAAGGGTTGTTTTCGGATATTATTTGGATATATAAGTGAGAAGAGAGGCAGGGTATTATAAGCCGAGTTGCTAGCTGAGATCCTTTTGAAAAGAATCACATGAGTCCTTCGAACTCTTTCCCAATCTTTACCATTCCCCATAATTTTGGAATTTTTCCCAAAGGTTATACAACCTCAATTACAAATAGAAACAGAAATATTGAACAGAAGAACAAGCAACTATTTTTGAGTGTTCACCATTTCTGTGCAGCCATCCATTCAGATTATCCACCAATAAGGCTGGCTGTTGACAAACCATTTTGTCAACGTGCCCGGAAAGGGACTTCGACTAGGAGAGGGCGGAAAGGAGCCGGAGCAATGCACAAAGGCAGCTGCACAGAGGGCCAAAACTGTCAGCACGGCAGGTGAACAGGCCAAGCAGAAAGAATGTTTCCATTTCCATTTCCATTCGCACAACCATTTCGGTTTCCTGCTCCCAATCGCTATGCCAATTTCAGTTCCGAGTCTCGTCTCTTCTCGTCTCGTCTCTTCTCGTCTCGAGTCCTGTCATTAAAGGCGACGGCGACTGCCCATTGTGTTCGGCGTCAACGCCCCCGCAAAACTGAACTATTTCTTCTTCATATACATATGTAACACATATACATATATATATATGTATATGTATGTATGTATATTTTCTTTCTTTCTCGAGCCGCCTCTCAAATTGGGTAAACGCCCGAGCGGGCCAAGAAATTTGTAAAACATTTCGTCTTTGGACGAGAACGGGAAATTAGCTGCCATTAGTCATTTTTATTGTTTTCGGTCGCGGAGCCAAAAAAAAACAACGGCAGCAACAACAACAATAGCTGAGGAAAAACATGGTTTGGCCCAAATTGGGCAACAAACAATTTGTATTAACAATTTTTCCATTTGGCCCGCGGTCCGCGGTCCGAAGTGAAATGTCTTAATTATTTTGGGAGCTAACCGCCTCCTGCCCCTCCGCCAATTCGACAAGCCGACAGCCCAACAAACATACAATTTACGTTTACGACATTTTAATTAAGTTTTTCTTTTTTCCTTGGCTTTCCCTCGGCCTCTGCTGACCACTGCCACCGCTCGCTTGTGGAAATTGAGCAAATTAATAAGAACGCCATTGGCACGCCCCGAAAACGCTTGAGCTGGCCTATGCCCAGTGTGCCCAGTGTGTTCAGTGTGCCGGCTCCCAATCCCGAGCACTGCTGATCATCATCGGCCGTGATCATCAGTGATGAATGAATTGAGCTGATCTCCTAGTGCTCATTAGCCTCGCCGACCGCGAGCGCGTCTGGTAATTGCCTTCATTTCTAAGGGGCCTACCTAGACCATAGATTAATTGTGTATGTGCGTTGAAGTGGAGCTGAGACTTAGTCAATTGGATGATGCTCCTAGATGAAAACGAGCTTGGCATTTGATAGAACTCGCAACGAAGACACGATACGCTTACAGTAGCTTATTCGACTCGTGTACAGTTTTTGTTTAAATAGGTTTTTCTTTTTTTATATTCTGCTTTGTGCGGCATCCTTAAACGTGCATCTGTCGCGCAAGTGTATCCGTTTGCGTTGATTCCGCTTTGTGAGGCCCTTTTACTTTTTGCATTCCCCTTTGTGTCGCATTCGTAAATGTTGCACGGTTAGCTCAGCCTAGACAACCCCGAACGGATTGCCTAGCAAGCCACACGCGTGGCAGGGTAATTGATAGAAACCCAAAAACAAGACTGGAAGCCACGCGGAGCCATCAACATCAGCGGCTAATGCGCATTTGTGTGCGCCTCTGGTCTGGTTGGCTGGTCCGATTTCCACAGATTTTTCCCCATAATTAATAAACCGCTCAGCATCAGACGTCGTCATTCGTCTCGTTCGCTAATTGGTCGCTCGTCAGTTTCGGAGCAACTCAGCCAGACTCAGCCAGACTCAGCCCGGCGCGAGACGCGAGACGCTCCAAATGAGCTTTTGACGAGCGTTTTGCCTCGGGAAATGATAATTATTTAAGTGACTCTCATTTAGCTGCGACCACTGCCAAAAATAACTGAAATACTTGAGAGAAAACATAAATATATATATGTATTCATATTCATATACGTGTATATACATGCATATTTAAGACGAACAGCTGCAAAGTGGAGCCATTCGCCCTCGCCGCCAAGCTATTTGCATAATTTACGAGGGCGACAACCCTGGCTGGGCCCATAAATTCACCCAATTTGTGCTCGTTGGCCGCTAGCCAGCTGAAAATTTCACGACTGCCCGGCCAAATGGAATCGCATTTTGGCAGCGACCAACCTTCACGTAAACCCAACCCCCTTTCCGGCACAATACCCAACCCTTCTTTGAGCCCAAACCCCCTCCCCCCCTCCCCCCAGCCACGCCAACGAACCACCCACGTGGGCGTGTGGAGCTATTCAGCTAATAAAAATCAAAAGGCGTTTTGTTCGCTAAACTTAAATTGAAAACACTTCAGCAGCAACAACAACAACAACAACAACAACAGTACAACAAAAGGATAAACACTTCAAGGGGCGGATTTGGCTTAGGTAAAATAAAGCCCAAAAAGAGTAAAAAAAAAACCCCCCACGCCTCTGGCTGTCTGTATATGTGTGTGTGTGTGTGTGTGTGTGTGTTGCCGTTTAGCACAAAGATGGCGGCTGCAGATAATGAAATTTGCCGAAATAAAAAAAAAAAAACAAGAAAGCGCGACTATTCTTGGCAAGCCGCAGTTTAAATACCCTACATTTAGCTTCATTTCCCAAGGATATGTCCTGAAATGATATGATGTGATATGATATAGTTATCCGACTCTTTGCGATCCTGGGGATACGCTTGAGGCAGACTGAAGCTCGCAAAAGCTGACTTTGGTTCAGAAATCTTCAAAATACACAAAAGTTCTACACACCAAAACGGATTAAACAGTTGTATATATAAATATACATAATATCAGATTTATCTTATTTATAGGAAATTTGATATTACCAAATATCAACTTTTTTTCAAGATAGCCCAGGAAAATAGTTAATTAGCATCTTGTTTAATAAGAATAACAAGAACTTTGTATGAAATTCTAATTTTTGACGCATGGCTCGGACAACATAGTCCGATCGGGCTAATTACGGTATATATCGTCTGCTACACATGGAAGCTTTTATGTAATGTCAAAGGATGAGAGCTTGAAAAGTGCGAGGCTGATTTATATTTGTATATATAATATATATGTTTACATATTGATATGCTTATTTCTACATCTATATATTTTTGTATACTCCTTGGGCGCGAAAAGATCTCCTAATCCTGCGTTACACTTTTCGTGACAAAATTCAGATACCCTTTATAATTGTATTAAAAATAACAACAAATGTTTTGGCGACCCGGGAAAGGCAGTGGGGAGGGGGGAGGGGGGAGGTTGGGC